TAATCAATATATTAATTATAAATATTTGTAAATTGAATAAATATTTTAAACTGGAATGCATTTATGTTTAATATGTATTGAAAATCAAATCTGATAACAATAGAATATTTTAGGATGATTCTATTTTTTGTATAATAAATAATTGGTATTTTAATTTTATTGTTACATAATTCATAATTTCTTTCAACCTGCACTAATTAATTATTTTGTTTTTTTTTACCTATTATTTTCTCGAACGCTCACAACTACTAAAAATTAATTCTTAGCATTTCAAATTTTAATTAATATAATTGTGGATTAATTTTAATAATTAGAATGTTAAAGATTTCAAATCAACTTCGATTTTACTATAAAACATTTTATTAACTCCTTGAAGTACCTTAAAATGCAAGTTCAGCCTAAATAAAATCAAGTTATCTCAGAATTGTGAAGTTATACCATTCAGACACAAAAACCTAGGAATCAAAAAATTAAGTAATTTAAGATTATAAATTAGGAATATTTTAAATAAGTCACTGCCGCTTACCAGATATTATCAAACGAATCTGAAAGGCAAAAATATGACTAAGCTATAAATAATGAAGGTCATTCATCTTACAATTCTCAAAATTCATCCCAAAAGGAAAATGACTAAACTTCAAATTATGTTTCTATTCTTATTATTATCTATTTTCGCATTTCGATTATAATGTGTAATCTGAACAAGATTTGCTTTTACATAAGTTACTGATCTATAAACAATTTTATCCATCAACAAGAGTTGATGAATTACATATTGTTGAATTTTTTATATGACTAAAATTAAAAAAAGAGCATCCAGAAACTTTAATGCAATTAAATCTGCAATATTCAGCCTTCACTAATAGACATCACGATCTGTAACGGCTGTTGTATTAATTTGGCAATTTACATGTTATGCCTTTTACCGTCTTACTAAAAACATTAATATGAATAGTATTGAGAAATTATTTTAAATTATATTCAATCTCTCCAGTCTAAGTTGTATTTATAAGATAAGATACTTGATATATACAACCAGTAATACCAAGAACACAAACATAATTCCAATCATAACAAATTTAATTTGTAACTAAAGAATAATTGCCATAAGTTAAATGTTCACTCGCAATTATTGGTCTAAAAATTAAATAATGTAATTGCTTTTTATCTTAAGAACAATAAATTGTGATTATTGTTGAAGAAAATGAAAGAATGAATAATTTAGTTTTAAATAAATATAAATATATTTCTAATTTAAACAATGAAATTCCAGCTTTTATTAGGAAAAAAAGTCCAAAATATTTTGATGGATTTATAATGAGATCGATTGATCATGGTACTGTAATGAAGTATGGTACATTTATATCACATTGATTGTGCAATTCTCAATTGATACATGTAGTTTCTTAATAAGATTCTAAATTATCAACTCTGTAGGTTGAAAATCTTTTTTTTGCTACTTTTTAAATAATATTAGCTGCAATAATAATCTTTCTTGGATCAAAACATTTTGCCCTTTTAACAATTTAACTAAAAAGGACATTAAAGTAAATAGATTTTCTAATTCTCAAATTATTTTTGAAAAAAACTAAGTTTTATAATTATCTTTCCTATTTAATTTAAATTTTATCAATTTAATCATTAAAATTAATGATAAAAATAATTAAATTAGTAATTAAAATTTAAATAATAAATAATAACTATCATTTTAAATGATTATTTATATTTGTAATTGATGGTTCGATTAATCGAAATTTTATTATTTTCTATATGTACGTATGCTAAAATTAATTGTATCTTAATTTAATTCCTTTTAATATTTTCTCATTCCTCAAATAAGACTGATAATACGAAAAAATGAATAAATTAAATTTATCATTCCTGGTTTAATTATTTCTGAATTAGTATCTATTAGAGCTTTAAATATTTTGAGACTCTCTTTCTTTTAATTAATTTTTTTTGAAATAGATTTTTAATAGTATTTTTCTTCTTCTTGCTTTAATTTTATTTGTTTTATCAACACCTAAGAATTAATTCGCCTAAGACAATTTTGGCAGTGCTCCCCAATTTATCAAGCGACCACCACTTGTCTATAATAAAGAAAAAAAATAAATTTAATTAGCCTACATTCTAAAGTTGAAAACCATTAAAAATATTTTTTCAGTTGAATTAATGAATATTTCAAACAAAAAATATAGCATTAAATTATGATTCTATTGAAGTTAAAACAAATACTTTTAATATTAAAGTTTAATTGAAGATTAATAACATTGTTTGAAATCTTATATTCTCTGCTCAATTGTGATAATTTCCTGCTATTGTATTATTATAAAATTTTTAAATTTATCAACAATGAAATAATAGATTATCCATTAAAAAACTAGAATTTTAAAATGATGTTCAATTTTGCATCGTATTTAGAATTTACAATATTAATTAATTCTTAAATTTCTATTTTCTAACTAATTTCCATTTCAATTTAACTCATGATTCATAAAATAAAAATAGTAATTCAACAATCAAGAATTTTTAACAATCCTATATATACAAGAATGTATAAACTAAGTTTACCTAATTTGATAAGTTATTTATTCTGATAAAATTGATACCACACCTCCAAATTTAGATTAATGGGATAAATAAGTTCAAATCATTATTAAAAATGAATTAATTTCCGAAACTTAAATTATGTCAGGCCAAATCTATCTTTTCTAGACTATCAGAGAAAATTGCTATTGAGTTTAAAATTTTTTTTATCCCCAAACAAACCACATTTCTTCATGCAAGCAAAACGATTGGATGAAGACATAAAAGAAAGTAAACTGTTATATAATGTAGCTAATAAAATCGCTTTGTACCATCTTAAGAGTTATACCAACTATGTCTGAAAAGTTTAATAATTAATATGATTGACAAAAATATTTAATTGCTTGCTTAATTCGAAGAGATAGATTATTTTAAAATCCCTGATCCTCGTGCATATAATATCGTTAAATATATAAATAACATTCCTAGCTATAAGTACTTAAAATGATTAAAAAAGGTTTGGAAAAGAATAAAAATTAAAAATGCGCTCAAAATCTTGATCTTCAAGTTTTCTAAGTGATATCTTCATATCTGAAATTATATATTTTTAATTGGAGTCATTTTGCGAATTCCTTTTGTACTTGATAAACCTTACTCTAAATTACTAGAGTATCATAATGAGTACTTTCATTAGTATTCTCTAAATACTTTTAAATAATTTAATAACTATGATTAATTATTTAGATATTTGACTTTAATTTAAAATTTTTCCTTTATATCTTAATTAGAGTCTAAAGATTTAAATTTTGAAAATCTATTAGTATTATTATGAGGAATATAAGAATAAAATTCAGATGATAAGCCTTCTAATAAACATTTTTTTTTGGCTTTGGTTAATGTTGATTCATTAATTGCTTCTACGATATACTTTAATATAGTGTAACCATTTTTGATGTTTTGATTACCTAATTTTCCTTAATGCATTCTAAAAGAATCATAACTTATCTTAAAATAATCAAATTTTATTTACTTCATCATTTATTTATCCATCATCCTAACATCATATATTAATATAAGTAAATCTTTAATTTCCTTTTATAATTTTTATTTTTCTTATCCATTAACAGGAATTTTTCTAAAATTTGCTAATCTGCTGAAACAGTCTTATCATTAATTTTCTATTCATATTCATCTAAACAGGATTAGAGTGAATATTCTTGAGCAGCATGTTAACCTTTTTAACCTTCTTCATCATCTTGTGAAAATAGTATTTAACTAAAATAATAATAATGATTTATATTTTTATTTATTTATCACTTTCCAAAATTCAAGCTATGTAAAATTTACCATCATTATTACCAGTAGCAATGTTTTTTTAATCTAATCAAGAATATAGATCTTCTAAGGAAAGATATTTGAATCAAAT